AATGACAACGTTTCACCCAGGAGGCACAGACCCACTACACTACTGCAGACCTTCATTTATTTATCTCTTCATATGCCCTATTTTATATGTAGGCACATCATCCAGACAAGAGGGAATGTTCCTAGATTTAATGAAATCTGATGAAGCGCACCTTTTAACTCTGCAATATTATTCTACCTTCATTGGTAAATGAGCCAAACCAGTGATCCATTCAGTTTAAATGCAAAATGCTGAAGTGAGCCTGAAACCTGGAGAGGTGACTGTTCTCCTGACAATAAGCTAGTTGTGTTTAATGGAATGAAACACAGTTATAATGATTTCTTTCACAGGTCATATTCAGTTTAAAAATGTTGATAGACTCAAATACGTTAATTTTTTTATTTTATTTATAAGAAAGAAAACCAGGAAATTTCTCTTTTTCTTTTGTTTATAGTTACTGCCTTGTGTTTTGATTTCCTATTCCTTTGCAGCTTTCCTTGAGTTACCGTACCACATGGGCTGGGGGAATGTTATACATGTAGTCTGATGCTGTCGTGCATCCTCCTAGCCACTGTGCTTTTAAATTAGAATCTCTGAGATTGCGCTGTTGGAACAACACACAAATTGCAGTTTTAAATCAGTAATATGATCTAATTAGAAATGATGTTTTCATTTCCTGTATTATTAAATTGAGTCATCTGACTATCTTAAAATGATGCTTACATCCATTACACTATATAATCGGTACATGCTGTGTGAATGTGGTTATACTTAATAAAGGAAACTAACTTAAACCCATAAGAATTTCAACAAACTACTGTTAAGAAAAAGTTTGTTAGGATAAGCATTAGAGAAAAAGATTCAGTTTATGAAAATGAAAATAAATTTTTAAAGAAAAATTCCTCATCCTCTTTTTTGTCCTAACTTTTTAAAGGGGAAATGATATAAATGCAAGCATTAAAATACTCCATCCCAATAACCTTTATGAACAGGTATGCCATGGTGTTGCAGGAAAATGCAGTTTAGCACTAAAAATGCTGAACCTCAATTTTTAGTAGTGACATTTTAATGATAGGAAGTCTGCAAAATTATTTGCCATCAATTGTGAAGGCAATAACAAGCCTTGGTGGTTTTTCACACTTTCTGTGTTAAGTGCTTTCAGAATGACAGCGTAAACTGTGTTAGAGAACTCCAAGGAAGGAAAACTGATTAAAATGTTCATGCTTGAATGGTGCTGATGGAATAGTTCATTTGGACTTTCTCTACCTCCTGCAGCTCAAGCTGAAATATTAAAATTCAGTGGATTTAAATCTCTCTCCTCTCAGCTCAGGAAAAAAAAACATTACATTTTAATAGGTTTTAAACCCATAATTCATTGGTTTGGAGCAGCACTATTAAATCTATTTAAATATTACTTGTATTACTAAGGAAATGATTTAAAATGCCTTTGCCTTTTACTATCCTATGTGTTTGAATTATTTTTTCAAAAAGACAATATTTACTGTTGCTATATTCTGTCTTAACATTTTGTTTTATTGTCCCTGTCATTTGATTGACTCTTATTGGGATATAAATTTGCGTGCTTATTTTTCTACTGACCCTTACAGTGTGAGTATGTGGGTATGCGTGCTCACCCGTGCGGGAATGAATATGCATGTATTTATTCCAGATTGACATTTTGGGGGAGAGTATTAACATATGGACAGTTTAGAAAATATGTCTCCCCTTTTCTATTACAGATTTCAAAACTACCATTTTAAGTCTCAACTGCATTTGGATGAAACATTGTGATAATTTCTGATAGGTCTTTTAAAATAGGTCATTAGACAAAAACCTTAAGGGCATAAAAGTGTAGGATATGTAAAACAAGTATGTGCAGCTAAAAGTAGGAACTATTGTTTCAGGGATCTGAATTTGGCTTCCTAGCTGCTAACAGCTACCCTATCACTAGAACTCTGGGTGATCTCATGCCTGTGGCCTTCAAAGGCATCCACACTTACCTGTACCCCTTCACATATACATATTTAAAAATGGAAATAAATATTATAAAATAGATGAGTCCCTCTTCTATACTAATTATATATGATCCTGTGACCATGTAGTTTATCTTACAAGTAATAAGATAAACCTTGAAATAAAATGAAAAACACAGTTTACCTTTTTAACAAAAGTCAAAACATTGTACATACCCAAGAGCAGTTTTCCATTCCTTTATGTTCACTATCAGGCCACCAATGGTTTTGTGATTTGTTCTGCTGCTAGCCTATATTGAATATGGCTTTCCCACACTATTGAAACTGTCTTTCCTGGACCCATCTCATCCCTAATATGTGCTATGGCTTGAGGGTGCAAGATTAGGAGGACTTGCTTTCCTCTGGTGCTTTGTAAAAATTTATCCTTCAAGGGCTGCCAGTAAGCTAGCACTCAGTTGCCCACCATAACCATAGAATTAAGGATGCCTCTCTTCTCACTTCTCATTCCTTACACACGAACACTTGGTTAGGATTGTTTGAAAGGCACAGCAGCTATGTGCTAGCCCTTCTTTTACTAGAATTTTTGCCATTCTCAAGGTTTGGCTTCATAGGAATCAGTTTGTGAAGAGTCTTCATCATGTAGGGAGATTACTGAGGTCATATGTTACAACTGTAGCTTCTTTCCAATGTCTGGTCTGTGTGTAAATGGTCTTTACAAGCTCAGCATTTACAGCTCACGTTACTTTTAAATCTAAGCAAAACTTATGACCAGTAATATTATTTTTCTCTTAGTCTTTATTTTGTATGGTAAAGTGCTTTCTTATTGTATATGTTATTAAGTTAACTTTAACTTGAGCTATAAAGTAGATTTGGGTTTTTCTCAGCTATTACTATTTCAGTTTGATTACTGTCTGCCTGGAGTTTAAAGGCTTTGAAGACCAAGACTTCTTAAATCTTTGTATTTGCAGCCCCCTCTCATCCAAGACATTTTAATGAAGCTTTGGATATATAGATATATAAATAAAACATTTGCTGATAATCACAAAGAAATTTATTATAAAACAATTTTATATATATATATAATATAAATATATAAAACCAATTAGTAAGATGAAAGAAATTCACATACTAATGAGATAACTGTGCTTTTTTTATATAAAAAATATTAACTGAATATTTCATGATATAAGATGTTGGGCAGTTCAGAGTTGATCAGTATTTTGATTTTATAATCCTCAGTGCTCACAACCCCACTTCACATAAATACTAGAATAAAATGATCAGCATATGAGGACTTTCAGAAACTGTTGAGAAGTCTTACCTAATTCCAAGTCAGAGTTCCCTCTGATTATTTGTAATTCAGGTCAGCAACTCTAACAGTAAACTTTAAGCATTCTAACATAGTACAATTCAAAGAGATACTCTATAAAGAATAGTAGGAAAATATTTTAAAATTTTTATTTTCTGTAATTAAACCATTATGTTTCTATGAGCAGAAAACTTTGTACAGTAAAACACTGTAATTTGTAGCACACAGTCATCTCTATTATAAACTGAGGTGTTTCAGGTAGTTTTTGCTGGTGTCACAGGACTTGATGTGTTTAAAATCAGCACTCAGTGCAGTTCCATGCCACAGTATGGGTGAACACTACCAGAAACACCTCGGGTTCATAATGCAATTTAATTTTTGGTTATTGCATTCAGAAACTATTAAATTTTTTCTTAGTCTCCACCCATGGTTTAAGAAGCTTGGTTATGGAAAGCCACTGTGCAGGTGGCCCTGGACCTTTTGCACTTACTTACAGGGCTCTGTTTATATGTGCTCACAGAGCTGTGATGATGCTTAAAACTAAAGCAGTTTTGCATCAAGTCCCTCTTTATGTTGATTTGCTGCTCTCTATTTCCCTTGGAGAAAGGAGCTGCAGTATTGAGTGATGTAGTCATAATTCAATCTTTGTGCTGCAGTTTGCTGAGACTCTTAAGAGGCTCTGATTTCCCTTCTCCTAACAAAGACTCTCATACATTTAAATAATTTTCAGCTCAATTTTCACTTCAAAGGTCACTAAATTTCTAGGTTAGGGGTATGATTTCTGATTTGTTGCTTGTGTGTATTCAATTAATTTCTAATAGAAAGTTCTTCTGGAAGAAATTTTTAGAAGCCAGCCATTTTATCTTCTCTCCCAAACTGTTGCTAACCTGAAGTATGTGCTTCTTTCTTTCCCTCCTTGTATCAATAGCTGCACATATACAGCTTACTTTGAAGTGAGCACAGTGCCACCAGCGTTGCATAATGTGTCTAGGTAGGTAACTGATGAAGCTTGAGATGAAGTTGGCCCTGGGAGTCCACTGGGAGAAAGGCTCCCAAATTTGCTAGATTGAGCTTGACAATCTGTGCATGGACTGGGTTCACTATTACACAGTGAAAGCAGGTTTGCTCAAATTAGCTTGTCAGTCAACAGTTCAGAATTCTTATCTCTTTGTTGGGTCTTTTCTTTTTGTGACACTCCCTTTTCTTTGATGACTTCTACTCAGTGGTATTTCTTTATGCAGCATGAACAGTTGCCTTTCAGAGGCCTTATTTCGTGTGGGCTCAGCCTGATTTTTTGTATCCTTCAGAAAGTTGAGAGGACAGAGCAAACATGGACTCTAAGGGAGATATACTCACTTGAAACAGGCAATGAAAGTGTTACTAATTGTGCATGACTCTTGGAACTTAGGGAAAGTTGGAAGGACTTTTAATCTGCCCTTCAAGAAACTAATTTTAGGTTCCTTCAACCTGAAAGTGCAGTTGTGGTCATCAAAGCTGCCTTAAAGACCTTTGTATAAAGAGTAGAGCTCTTCAATGACTAGTGAGGGTAAGTCAGTTGCACGCACGCCTGTTGTTAATTCAGTAATTATTCTGATGCTTTCACTTTACATTGCTCAGTACTCTCATTTTGAGTATTTTAAAATCTTTCTTGATGTGTATTGAAGTGAATCTTCAGATTACACTTTTCCTTATTTAGGTTTTGGAAGTTGTAAGTTTTCTAGTTTTTTTTTTTTTTTTAAAACTGTCTGCCCCGTATCTGCCCATGACGATTTCACTCAATTCGTCCTGGTCATCGAAAGGCAATTTATTCTAGGGAGGTCTAGTTAAGTTTTATAGTTTTATATTTCACTCCACAAATCTAGTTTAACCCATTTTAACATTTTAATTTGTTATTTATTTTTAAATTTTAAGGCTTTGTTATTTAATGTAGTGAGCATTTTGCCTGCATGCCTGTCTGTTCGACCACATCTATGTGTGGTATGAAATTAAAAGAGAGCTTCAGGTCACCTTGAGTGTTATGGATGATAGTGAGCCACTATGCAGGTGCTGGGAATTGAACCTGAGTCCTCTGTTAAGAGTAACCAGTGCTCCTAATCAGTGGACCATTTTTCCAGCCCCAAACATTTTAATATTTCAGTTTCAATAAAAGTTGTTTAGAAGACTATTAAAGAAAAATAGAAGACAAAAGTGAGGCTGCAAGCATTAATCAGAATTAAGGATACTCGTCTTCTTTTTATGTTTGTATGTTTGTAGATACAGTTTTAGATGCCTGAAATTAAGAATTCAGAAATATGCCTGTCACTGATGTTTGATACTATTTTAAGTCAGATTTGTGGAGGTAGTCCTAAATAGTACAGATGTATGAATTTTGACAGATGAATATAGTTGTAGAGCTACTACCTCAGAGAAGGAGCAGACTCTCCATCCCTCCCCCTCTTTTTTTGTAGACAGTTTCCCTCCTTGCAGTACCTCTGGATTAGAGTTGTCTCTGAAAGTGAGCTTGTTGGAGAATGTACTGTAAATGGATTTTTTTTTTCTTTTGGTATGGCCTTTGAATGCCTCTTCTTTAAACATAAGGCCTTCGAGACTTGGTCATGTAGTTTTCTTTGTCAGTAGCTAGGTCCCATGTACTGCTGATGATACCCCATAGCTAGTGTAGACCAGTTTGCTTATTCATTCACATCTCAAAGGACTTACCTTTAGTTTTGAGTGACTGAAAATAGCAGTACAAGAAATATTCACATCCACATTTTTCAAAGCGAATTTCAGAATTTCTTCTGGGTGATTACCTAACAGTGAGAATTCTGAGTAAATGATCTGCTGAGTGTGTCTCAGATTGTAAGTACTATGGAGGCCCTGCTGCTCTGCAGCCTTCTTAAAGCCTGAAGAGCCTCACTCTTCATCCTCACCAACGGTTGGGATTACAGCTTTTCAGTTAGTGGTATTTGCTGTGCTTTTCTGTCTTGTTTTGAATAAAGATGCATGGCATTATCTGTTTATGTAACTTACTATCTCTGTATCTTCAAAAGGAAGAACAAAATCTTCACTGTTCTCCTTGTCATTTATGTTTTGATCATCTTTTAATATTTTAGATAAACACCTTATGTATTTGTCACATATATTCCCTGATTTTTGTAGCTCTTCTCATTTTACTGTGCCTTTTGAAGAAGATACACTTTGGTTCATTTTTAGACAGATCTTACTAGATATTCCAGACTAACCTCAAGTGTGCATCCTCCTGCCTCAGCTTTCTGAGTACTGAGGTGACAGTCATGAGCTATTATGCTTAAGTGCTCACTTTTTTTCTTTAAACGTTGAGGTAATTCTAGTTTGAGAATTGTTTTTTCTTCTGTGGATTTTTTTGTTATTCTTGTCTCTAAATAATATCCACCCAATTCTATCATAGATAGTTTTTCCTACTTACTCTTTGAGAATTTTTCAGCTAAGGTTCTTGATCCTATTTATTTTTGTTATGTTATGTTTGTGAGTTTTATTTTGCTTGATGTGTATAAAAATGTTTTGTTTAAAATCTTGTCTATTGTGATTCCTAACTTTCCTGCCCTTAGTCAGTGCATCTTCCATTTGTCCCTGGTTCAAGACACTTTCTCAGCTGGTCCTTTACAGCTGCTTCCTGATATGATTTTTGAGTTTTTTAATTTGCTGGCCGAGGATTCAGTAGTCATTGTCTAGAACATAAATCAAATCTCATTGCTTTCTTGTTTAAAATGTTCTGGTTGGCCTTTTTGCTTAGTAAAATAATCTGAATTTCTCACATGCCCTATAGATTTCTCATACGCCCAGGCTTCATTTACCCGCTGTTGAGCAGCACTGGTCAAGCATGTTCTTGGCTAGGTTTGTGTAGCCGCTCTTTGCTCTCCACAGTGCTCCCCTTTTTTGTCTTGATGATGCTTAGTGCTTTCCTTCAGTGCTTAGTGTTTTTCTTCAACCGTTCATTTAGATTGCCTGCCTCAGGAAGAGCCTGCCTGGCTGGCAACACTTTTTATGGGTGTGTCATCCCCTCTATTCTCTGAGCCATTAGCCTCTTTCTTTCTTCATAGCACTTAGCATTGATCTGTATGACACTCTTCTTGTACACTTTCTAGCCATGGTGCCAAAACATTGGGTAGCCCATTGTTTCAATAAACATTTATAAAATAAATCAAAAACACATAATAACTCATAATATTAATTAGTAAATGTATAAGCAAGTACTATAGTTTGAACTGTTGTTTGGAGGATTTTTTTTTATAGTATTTAGCCCAGGTAGAGAGGAAATGTAGAATGATAGAAAATATACAAATTCCAGTGTCATATGATCATGGTAATGTCATTTAGGCTTTCTTTTCTATAACATTGAAGGCTGAAGTTGATAGCCACTAATTTGTCTAGTTTAACCTTATAATCCTATTGCAATGACTATGGGATTTTCATTTTAAAATTTAGGATCCCTTTTGTGTTGGTGATTTCTATAGATTTATCGTGTTTCTAGGCTTTTATTCTTTACCTCACAAACAGTGACTATAAAAAGAACCTATATTTATGGATATTTGTTTTGTTTCAAGTACTGTCCTAAGCATTTGCATGTGTTTTGCTTAATTTTCGTATCAACCCAATTTAGAATTAATCTCATTTACTTTACAATAATGAATCACAACTTAGAATTGAGAACTAACTCCCAAAAGGGGTCCTATAAGGAGGAAGTGTCAGAGATGAGATCTCTATTTCTACTGAGTTTGTCAAAATGCTCTCATTATTTTTCATTCTCCTGACTATCCTCCCTTCTTTTCCAATGAGAGCATATTGTCTTTAGCCTCAAATACACTATTAGAGTTGTTCGGGACTCAGTGTTGAAAGGAAAGTGGAATGAGTGTCGGATGCACATGCCTATTGCTTAGCCTGAATTATCTGATTTTTATCTCTTTTGTAGATTGGTTGCATTATCTTGATTCATACCATACTGCTTCTTGTCTGCTGGCATTACCCTTACGTATAAGAATCAAAAGTTTTAATAAATATGAGAAGACAAAGGTTTCTTGTCTTTAGAAACAAAGTCTCGTAATACAAATGATGTTTGAACCTGTGCTTGTAAGAATAGGACTGTGTAACAAGAACAACAATAAAAATCAAATATTAAATAGTAAAATGTTATGGGATGTATGTATACAGAATGTATGTCTCTAGAAGTTCAAAGGGGCATTGCAGAATTGTTATTCAAATCTTGATAATCAGAGGTTTGAAATGAATTTGTTGCTAAATATTGTCCAGGGAATTGGAGACAGAAGGGATTATTAAGGGCTGCTGATAGCTATTTGTTAGTCAGTTGACAAGGACTGAGGGAGGACAAGAGGCCAGTCAGGGAGAGATCGAGTTAGAACTCACATTTAATGTCTTTTGTTTTTAATAGTCCTTCCTTGGAATTATACCTTGTTTGAGTGTAAGCTTCACTCCTTTTCTGTGCTCCATTTTTTTTGTCTCATGTCTATATATTGCTTATGAGTAGCAAATACTCCGAGGTAGAGTAATACTCAAATTTAAAAAACATTGTTGACCTAAAAGGAGTTAGAGCTACCTCTTCACCCTCTTAAAAATTAAAGATGAATTATACTTGAGAACTTTTAAAAGTTTGTTGTTTTTCTTATCTTTTTTTTTTCTTAGTGGAGTCATAAAATGGGAGAAACTGTTTTGGCCCAGATTTGTGTTCTGAGCAGCAAGGCTATGCCACTTGGGTGCCAAAGCAAGGTGGGAGTCATAGTATCTTTTTTTCTTTTAATTTCCCCAGAGTTTTTCTGAGTTTAATCAAAGCAATTTGTAGATACAGCTCTGCACAAATTTCATACCCAGGAGAAGAAATCATTGATGGTAAACAGAACAAACACCCTCAGTTTAAGTTGCTTGTTGTCACTTAGATTGAAAACTGAAAAGTTTTTTTGGGGTTTCTTAACAGGTTGCTAAGCAAAGACAAATGATGGTTCTCTCTTGTAGATGGGATCCAACTTCTACAATGAAGGCTAACATTATAGTTGCTTTGTCAGACTTCTTTACAGATAAGTGGGCACATGACCTATCCAAGTTAATGAGATATAAAGAAGTATATTTTCTTTTTTAACAAAAGATATTCTTTTTCTCCCCAATGAAGAAAATGTCTTCTTATTAGGTTACTTTTATGTTTTATTTTGTAACTTGAAGAGTAACTGTCTTAACTGGAAGAGTAACTATCTTAACTGGTATGGGTGTGTGCTTAATGCCTTGTGACTGAGTATAAAATAGTGGAAACAACCTAAACATGCAGTAGCTGGAGATGAATTAAGAGAACACTACTATATTTAGGATAATGGCAAACCACCAAGCAATTACCAACAAAGTAGCATCACTAGGAGATACAATACAATGTTCTTGATATACACTACATAGGAAAGATAGAACAGACAGCAGACTAAGCTAAAAGATAGCTTGATCTTGTTTTCATTTCAAACTGCTTACATATGCATTGAAAATACCATGCATAGATCCACTGATAATTATGTTTTCTTTGCCTGGTAGGATTAGTCTAGATTTTTAATTTCTTGCTATTTTTTTATCTCTTCATTGCATTTATAGCATTTCAAGTTGGAAAAAAAAAGGACAAAATTCTATTTCCTTTTCTCTTTCTCTGGCCTGTCTAAATGGTTTGATTTACCTGGTTAAGTGAGGCCCAGTTTTACAAGGTATCGTGAGTTCCCTAAGTTATCCTTAAAACCCTTCTCATATAACCATGTCTTTGTCTTTAAAAACAAATTTCAGTTTCTCTCTCTCTCTCTCTCTCTCTCTCTCTCTCTCTCTTAATTTTCTTTTCTTTTTTGACTTGCTGCCATAG